TGTGTGTGTGTGTGTGTGAGATGGGGGGGGCTTTTCCCCTGTAGTAGTTTTCTGTGAAAACCCCCCAAACATCATAAAAATGAATTCACAGCCAGGCAGTAATGCTGCTGCACAATCACCTAGTGGGATTAATGTACTAATGCAACATAAAGAACCACCAGTTGCCTAAACATACACATACAAATGAAGGCGAGGCAAAATAATAATGATAATGTACAGTGTAGCACTGGTTAATATATTGCTGTTGTGAGGCCTGCCTGATGTATCCAGCCCTGCTGCTGCACTTTGCTACGAGAGTGTCAGCGGCTCCCAGGACAGCTGGTCTGTGGGAACTCTCCCCAGGTCTGGTTGATAACAGGCCCTCTGTCTCCATCCACAGACATCCGCCTCCCGCCTCAGTCGCGAGCAGAGTCGCGTGCTAGCACTGTGGCGCCAGGCTGCCTCCCTGCGGAGCAGCGTCACCCAGCTCCGGGCATCCGCTGACAGGTAGCCATGGCTCGCTGCCAGGGCCGGGGCTGAGCGCTCACGACACCCCGGGACGCGTCTCACTTTCTTTCTTCCTTTCAGAAACACAATCATCTCCGTGATTAGAGTTCTAGGACGAGATGAACTGGGAGATTATGTGACTAGCGCCCGGCTTTTTTCAGCTGAAAAATAATTGATGACATCCTAGTGAAACCAAATAAATGGAAACATGGACCATTTGGTATTCCAGTCCGTTTAGAGTCTGTTAGAAGTTTGTGTTTCACTGTTGCCCGTTAATTTAAAGAACCTGCCCAGCTGTGGTTATTCCACACATTGATACAGTCTGAAATGTTTAAGAAATAGGATACATTTAGGGGGTCCCTCTGTTAGGGGTAATTAATTAAGACAACAAGTATAAAGATGGCTAAGAGCTTAGCAACATCTAAACCGACTTGCCTGGAGGTAACGAACTGGCGACCTTGGCCCCATAAGGTCCCTTTGACATCATCTGCTTTGTCTCCAGGAGCCTCTCTGAGATGCGAGTGGATTGTGTGGATGTGAGCCGCAGACTGCATGCGGCCTGTCTCAGCCTGGAGACCTGTCTGTCTCAGCAGACTCCTACAGGACAGGAGGTGTCAGCACTGGAGCAGCAGCTCAGAGAAAAGCTGAAAGAGGCCATGCAGCTGCAGAGTCGCTGGGATGGGGAGAAAGTGGAACTTAATTCCAGGTCCGTCTGCCTCTGTGTGTGTTTATTTCTCAGCTTATGGTCCATATAGACAGTTTTTGTAAGTAATATTTGTACCATAGATGAAGCTTCATTGTTGCTACTGTACTCAAACACTTATACTGTATACAGTACATGGTCATTTCGAGTCAAATTTGTCTAAACTTGTCTTATCAAAGCTTCTGATTCAGTGAAGAAAGTCACTGCATAGTATGTCCTTGAATGTTTTTTTTTTAAATTGAAGGTAGATAAATCTAAACTGAAGAACACAAAAATGAAAACATGAAATAAAATAAAATATGATACTTCCAAGGTAAGGGCCTTACAAATCTACCATTTGTAGGTAAATTGTTGGAAAATTCAGTTTCTCTTTGCTTCAGTAGAAATGGCAGATTTTTGTTTGGATGCTTAAGCCACATAGGTGTCATTTTAATGATGAACACCTGATGGACTCAATTTATGATGGAAGCAAAACATTCAAGATCCAGAACAAAAGAATTAGTTTCACAGTACTGGCACCTTAATCACACAGAATATTGTTTCCTTGGAAGCTGTAAATCAGTTTTTATTGCAACCCATATCTTATATCATTCAGTAATAACAATTGTACTGAACATTTACTCCCACCGGCCTAATCTATCTATACATTATCAGAAAGCCACTTATTCTTGGTATGGAACAGTCTGGAGCCTATGCACAGAAGAAACAGAAGAAGCAGAAACAGAAGCTGTGAGCCACGCTACAGTAACTGCAAGCCATCATGCCACCTACCCGTCTGACCCATTTCAAGTAACTTGTGGCATTAGGGGAGGGTTGAGAAGAGTGGTCCTGACTGTCACGATTGTAGTCCCTCCAACCTTAAGGGCGCTCCGGCTCTTTCACTTCTGAGTTGATTTTGTGCACCTGCTCCCTGTTCCAGCCTCCTATTCAGCCCACCTTAAAAGCCAGACGCTCACTCTGTTCCGGGCTCTGCATTGGTTCCTGTACCAGGCGAGTCTGGGACCTGGGGCGTCGGGTCCCGTTCCCCCCCTTTTTCCCCCCGACCCTCCACCGGATCCCACTCCAGTTTGTCTTCGTCTCGGATGGACCGCCCAGCTCTGGTCTTTTGCCTCGTCTTGGATTTCCCTTTGGACTCCCTTTTGGACTGTTTGCCTTGGACTTGTCCCCCTCCCCCGATCACCTGCGCACCATGGACACGCCCCCTGTTTTCATTCCTGACCCCTGCGTGCTTTTTTCCCCGTGTTTTCCTCACTATTCCCCAGATTGTGTCCTCTGCATAGGGTCCTGAAAGAACGCTTACGTTACACTGACTTTAGAGGAAATAACTAACCAGGACATTTTTGTGAATATGCATAAGTTGCAAATGAAAGGCTGATAATATAACATCTTAGTTAATAACTTTGCAATCACAGATTTGCGGATATTTTGTTGCTTGTCTGAGAACTGATGTCTGGAATTGAAAATCCTGATGCATCAAGCTCAGCCTTTTGGGATTTTTTAAAACATCTATATAAGGAAATAGGCTTATCAAACAAGATCTTACCATTTTGGTCATAACACTGTTTTATGGGTATTTCATGAAGTTTGAAGTAGGTGACATGTGCATTGTTCTCCAGGCCTATTTGATCTTTCAGTATGAATTACATCCAGTTAATATTACAGGAATGAAAATTCCATGCTTCTGAAACAAAGATCTGTGATTCTGTGTGTTCTTTGGCCAAAACATAGATTTGAAAGTTTCTTTTAAAGTTGTAAAACCTTTAGCATTACAGAAATGCCACGTTACGGTAGTATAGTATAAAAAAAGAACATTATTAGGCTCTTTGTGATGAAGTTAAATCTTGCAAAATATTTCAAAGAAAATAAAAAATCAATAGGTGTGAAGCTAGTATTTCTTTCTAGACTCAACATCTGAATTTGGTAAAAGAATATACCTAAAGTTTTGTGAGGCATTTATTGACCTTGGTTTTATGTAAAAAGCACAGCTACCTAACACCCACTTTTTATTCAATAAAATTCTGTTATAGTGGCAGCTTCTTTCACCATCTTTGTAAACACATTTAACAATTGTTTACGTGCTTAAACGTGTTTATTGTACCATATTTGGATGGATTAGCTTCCTTGTCCCTCCATTTATTTTAACAATTATATTGTAGATGGTTTTAATGTTTAGTGTTCTGTGGAGGAAGCTTTAACATTTGTTTTCCATTTTGCACATCTGTTTCCAGTTATACATCTTCTATATTCCAGTTGTGTAATACAGAGATGTCAATTAGGCACGTCTTGTCCTATCAATTTTACCAAAGCGCTTTGAGATTAAAGCCCTGTAACTGATAGCATTTGCGCTAATCAGTAGTTTTTACAAATGAATCCCGGAAAATTTCTGTGGGTCCTTGTACAAAAATATTGTACAGCTTTAATCCGGTTCTGGCCCAGTTTGTAACAGCTCTGTTGTTTGTTTGTTTTTTGCAGGATCCTGGAGCTGACGGAGATGGTGAAGCAGCTCAGAGGGCAGAATGAAGAGAAGGAGAAGAGCCTGGCAGCTCTGAAGATTGCCCTGGACAAGACGGTGAGATATAGACATTTTAGAAGACATTCATCCCTCACTAGACACAAGCACTTTACTCACGAGTCCTTGCTAAAACAAGTGATGCATTTGCAGACCTACATTCATTAGATGAGTGAACGTCCCCTGTAATATGAGCTCCAAGTGTGCAACTCATTCTAAAGCTTTTATTTATCATTGCTCTCTCTCAGCTATTGTTGCCTTGACTATCTTAACAGAAATTGTAAAGGTATTATACTATTGATGATGAAGGCTAATATTTTGTGAAAACTGATTTACAAATTTTAACATTTTAAATAATTAAATGTTTTATTTTTGTTTTTCTGATTATTCACACTACGTTCTGGGTTTTATTCTTTAATGTCACAAGATCTGTTAAATAACATAATACATCATTTTTGTGTAGTCAGAAATTTTGTTTGTGTAAATTTTGTTTTTAGTTCATGTCATATTTGTTGTTCATGTATACTATATAGTTCATGTGTTTCTGTACATAACTTCCGCATAATACATTGAAACATAACAGCTTGCATAAAAAAGTGTTGGTAAATTCTACTTATTGTGACATATGCTTAGCAATTTATGGTACAAAACTATTCAAAAACCTAAAAAAAATACCTAACCTTTACTGGTTTATATCAAGTTATTTCAAGCACTGGGAATGAACCACAGTTTTACAATACATGTATTTTAGTGGGAATTTAGTGTCGCCTTTACGACTTTTCTCCTAAGAGCAGAAATGTTGGAACCAATTGTGCTCGCATTGTGTGGGGTGAGTGTACAGCTTGTCCTGATCTCATGACTCATGTGGTCATGGGTAGTTGCTCTGGGACTGGTGCTCACACACAGGCACACAAGCTCTTTTTCTGCTTCATTTGTTGACAATATTTCTGTGCTTTGTGAAAGCCATTGTTTAAGCAGTGGAGGGTGATTTATTGTCTCTGACAGGAGCAGAGCAAGGCAGAAGAAGCTTCTGAGAAGGAATCTCTCAGACAGGACTTTGAAAGTCTGCAGCAGATTCTCCATAATATCACCCAGGTGAGGACAGAGGGGTGACATTAAGACAGTGTCAAAGCTACTTGCTACTACATTTTATTGGTACAAGGTTTGTGATGATCCAAGGTGATTTCCAGATTACAGGGGAAAGAAACTTTACTACTCCTTTCAATGCACAAATCACTATAAGAAGTTCTGAGAACCATGCACATTTTGCCTCTGGCCTTTGAAGCAGTATCGTGTTCACCCTCATGCCCTTGGACTCCTCCAGGAGCTTCTGAGTTCTGCTTTTCACGCACCACTTTCTGTGTCTTTGGAAAAGACTCAAGTGGGGAGCCGCGTCGGCATGCATAGGCTGCAAAGGAGCAGGTAAAAGTTTCTTCCATGCTGAAAGGAAAAGAAAAGAGACACAGCATTTCGGCTGTGGAGCCTTCTTCATGTGTGACATGGAATAGGCCTTTACCTGTTCTTTTGAAAAGACAGCTCTTAACACTTTCCCAAAACAGGCTCTGCAGTTTTTTTCTCCAAACTCCAAACATTTTTTATAGAGGCTCCCCGATATGCAGACATGCATTTAAATAAGAAGCTACTCTCACACCTCTCAGTGCCATGTACTGTAGGAATACTGAAATGCCTACTATGGGCTGTAAGCAGTATTTTCCAGAGGTGGTATGAATGGCGTGACTGCTCATGTATTCCTCTGCATTGTGTTTCCGCTGGTGAGATGGGATCTCTTCCCTTGGCTTGTGTTCGTCAGGTGGCTTGGGGGGACAGCGAGAGTGCCGGCTCCCAGGGCGTCTCTGAGCCGGCCGATTCTCTGAGGCCTCCGCCCTCTCGGCACGCCTCTCCCAGCCGCGCCCGCTCCCCCCTGCGCAGCGGCTCCCCGGCCCAGCAGGACCGCGCCCTCAATGCCGTGCAGAGCGCGCTGCTGAGGCGCCAACTTCAAGCGCAGGTGAGAGGCACAGCCCACCCCCCCCGACACCAGTATCCCCCCTGCCTATCTTCAGCCAAACCACCACTACTGGGCTGACATCTGTGTTTTCCTCAGAACATATTTTAGGTTGTTCGATAACACACACACACCTTTTTTGTGCTGCTTTTTTAAGCTTTTTTTTCGGGTGGTTTATTTCTTTGTGGAAAAAAAGTGCCAAATTTAGCTTGGTGAAAAATTCCTGACGAATTTGTCTTTCCTGATGAAGTTTCTGTCTTTCTTCACGGCTTTCGGCTGCGATGTACAGCATTTTGCCCCCACTTGTAACTATTAAAACAGGTTTACGGGTCGGTGAAGTAAGAGGGCACTAGCACTGGAAAGGTGTGCTGAAAGCAAGGTGTGTAAGCGTGGGGCTCCGGTCTTTATGGCTCAAACAGGAGATGCGTACCAGACTGGAGGCGGCCCAAGAGCAGGTGGCCACTCTCCGCAAACAGCTGCTGGACGGGGAGGCAGAGCGCAGGGCCCTGGAGCAGAGAGTCCAGCAGCTGAGGCAGGAGAGACAGCAAGCAGAACTGTCCGGAGAGGAGACCCGCAGAGATGCCCAGAGATACCGTTCTTCTCTGGACGTTATTGCCAGGTATATGTCTTCTTTTCCCCCTTTTCAGTCTTGTTGAAAGGATGTTTCCATATTATCTGGTAGGCAGTTTTCAGGATTTTCTGCAGGTTGGGCAATTATGATCTTGGATGCGATGTTTACAGCCTGTGTGCAGCCTCTAAAATGTAATGGGTACAATCTGTGTTTATTCTCCTGCACAGCGAGAAGGGCAATCTGGAGAAACTCATTCTCAACCTCAACCAACAAATAGACTCCCAGCTGGGTGAAATGGAAAAGCTGAAGAGCGCGAACCATGATCTTCAGCGCCAACGAGATCACCTGGAGCAGCAGCGGGAGGATCTGGAGAGAGAGAGGGAGCGCGGGCGCAAGGAAATGGAGAGAGGGTATGGGAGAGGTGAAGGGAGTTTGTGGAAGTGAACATAAGTCTCTGGCTTTGTAAATATAGAGCTTCGAAACTCAAGGAAAGCTGTGATTCTGAGCTCAGCCTTTCAGACCGAAACTGGAACAGTATTATATCTGTCCTGTGTGGATTCAAGCTAGAGTCCCAGTTACATGTCACGTCTCTAGGGTCCTAATATATCTTCTGTAATTCTCAGATTCATTTTAGTTGTGAAGAAATAATAATAACAATTAGTATTTAAATAAAATGTTAAATGTCTTTAAAGTTAAAATAAAAGTCTTTAACAGTAATTTCAAATAATTTAAAATGGAGTTCAAAATAATGGCACAATCAAATAGCATGGGTGATGTACAAAATACAAAACCCTTGCCCTCGTAAAACATTGCAATCGATTTTCAGATTTTCAGTATTCCATGTTTACAGTAAAAGCACTAGAGGTCAAGTCATATAGGAAGATGTCTGTGTGGGTGCTTCAGGCAAAAGAGTTTGGAGCAGCTGGAGATGAAGCATTCCAGCCTGAGGAAGGAGCTGGTGACGGTGAAGGAGGCCCTCAGTCAGGTCACTCTGCAGAAGGAGGTGCTGGAGGACGAGAAGGCCAGCCTGGCGCAGGCTCTGAGCAAGGTGAGCCCTGACCCGGAACCAGTGCATCCACTCCAACCAGATACAGGTTGTGTCAAAGGACACATCTGCTTTAAGATGCCTGTAGTAAAATATATATATATGAATTAGTTCAGGTGGGCAGCTGCGTCAGCTTGCGTAGGCTGCAAAGGAACAAGTAATAGGGTTATTCCATGCTGAAAAGAAGAAGGCTCCACAGCCGAAACGTTGTGTTTCCCTTCTTCTCTTTTCAGCATGGAATAAACCTATTACTTGTTCCTATCTATATGAATGTTTGCTTTTATTTACGATCTTATAAAATAAAAATATTTATTTTCCAATATAATTTTGTGACACCTTCCAAAAACATACCGTATTATGTTAATCGGCGTCCTTTAATTATCCGTTTGAGTACCCTCTGATGCCAGGTAAATAATTTAGGGTGTAGCCCTATACTTCCAGGAAAGGTTTCCAGGTTCGTGCAGATCTTCCTGAAAACGGATGGATGGATTCTTATTTTGCCTTTGGTTAGAGAGACCCAGAGGTAGCTCTGCAGCGGCTGTTGTCAGACGCCAGGGTGAAAGTGAATGAATTGCTTTACACAGTCTCAGTGGTATGTTGGTATTAGACACTAAAGGGCAGAGAATGTGGGAATGGAGGCTTGAGGTCTATCAGTAATGTGCTGGAGATTGTGAGAGCACGGTGGTCACCCTGCCCGCACTGCGTAGGTGGAGGTCCAGTCTGCAGAGCAGGAGCTGGCTCTCGCCAAGCTGCAGAGCGAAGAGGCCAGCCTCGGGGACTCTCTGGCCAAGATGGGGGCTCTCAGTGAGGGGCTGGCCAAGGACAAGGTGGAGCTCAACCGCATCATCCTGCAGGTCTGTCTGTCTTATCAGCTACCCTGGATTTCAACATCTGCGCTGTTATATGAGTACAGTATGTTCCCCCAAGAGTCAGGCTTCAGCTTGCACTTACAATTCATGTGATGCTGCATTGTTGATTAATATGCAGTACTGTACTTCCACTGATTATGCTTATTTAGACATATTTGTCCAAATAAAATGTATTTACGCAATTACGGGTATGTCTATACTGACACAATATATAATACTTAATTTTGAATATTTTTAATGAAGCAACGTGTGAAAATGCTATGTTATAAAAACATACTTTTTCTGAATAGATTTCCAAATCCTTCTCAACATTTACTGTGGGTTGCTTACTCCCTTTTATGTCTCCCGTGTGGCACAGGATGAACAAAAACTTAATCTGCTGTTTCGCTTTTTTCACCCCACACGTGTCACAAGATCGTTAGCTGCTGGTGTCTTTTCCACACAAGCACAATGAGCAGCAAGGCGAAAGCCAGTGTATTGTTGCAGCACGTGATGGCCCCACACATCCCCCGATCTGAATGAAAGAGTATACCCATGCCGCCCCTCACGAGCCCGGTGTCCCGTGTGTGCCATCAGATGGAGAGTGAGAAGGCGGAGCAGGGGGAACGGAGGAGGGAGGCTGAGCTGGAGCGGGCGGCGGGCAGGGAGGAGGTCAGCCGGCTGGAACAGGAGCTGCAGGACCTGAGGGCTGAGAAACGGGCCCTGGAGGTCTCGCAGGCCCACCTGCTCGAAGCCTGCCAGAGCCTGGAGCACGAGCTGAGAGTCATCCGGCAGGAAAAGTCTCAAGCCTTGGGTCAGCACGCACAGGTCAGCCCCACATTGCCAGGCCTGAGCTCTGCATCGGCTGTGAACTAACGACGAGTTCTATATAGCTCAGTAACACGTTCAAAAGCCTAATGGCTTCGCCTCCCATCGGGAAATTAAATATCATTCCCAGCATCTCTAGTTCTGGAATCCCATTTTTTTGCAACATAGAAGTATCCAAATGTTTGTTTGATTTGTGCTCATGTACTGACTGTGAAATTCAAAACAAAAAAAACGCTTGTGGTTTTATGTCACCGAGACTAAATTATCTTTGCTGTCTGTAACTTAACCGGGCTGATTGTGTGCCGTGGTGACTGAGCTGTGGTTGCTGTTTTGGCATGTCTGTGCAAGAGGTGGGTTCCTCTCCGAAGAAAACCTGGACGAAGGATCCAGTAACCCGGCACCTCTGTGTGTGTCTGTGCAGGCCAGCAGACAGAGGCAAGCCCTGTCAGATCAGCTGGCTCTGAGCCGCAGGGAGGTGGAGAGCCAGGCTGCGGCCCTCCAGAGAAGTGTGCGGGAGAGAGAGGAGCTGGCCAAGGACAAGGCTGGCTTGAGTGTCCAGCTGACATCCGCTGAGCGCAAGGCCCGAGGACTGGCTCAGGAGCTGGCCGCTCTCAGGTGCGTGGGCTACAGTGACAGTCATAGTACATAACCCCGTCTTTGTACGGCCATTCTTGTGTTTATTTAGCAGGTTTGGGAAACCAGTGTGTTGAGCGGTGATTGGGTTGGTGTTATGAAATGAATGAGTGAATGTATGTGTGTTACAGGATATATGCGTTTATTACGGGGCCAGCGATTATGTTGTAGAGCCCATGTGTGTGTGTGTGTTTCAGGGCAGAGAAAGAATCCTTGGAGACAGCACTGTTTGAATCTCAGGAGCAGATCCTGGCGCTGGAAGCTTGGAGGACTCAGCTGGAGGGGGAACAGCAGAACCTGCAACTTGCCAATGAGAGCCTCACTAGTAAGTCTTTCTCTTCTGTCAAGCCTGACAATCACAGGCCCACAGGCCGCACTGTCTCATTTTAAATTGCCAAATGCTGTCAGCATGGCCTCTTAAACAGGACACCAGAGAGCAATGTTTTATTCCTGAATTCCAGAACAGCTGTGCTGAAGGGTTGGTAATAGATTGGCCAAATGCGCTTGAAAAAAATTATCAATGAAACAAAGTTTTATGTCCACCCCCCTTGGACAAATAGAAATTAACCAATTTTAACAGTGCATTTTTCTCACAGCATATTGAATTATAATGGTTGACAACATGAATTCCCGTGTCACTTGTGTACATAAATTTGGGGTTGAGAAAGATCATTTTGAACTTCAGTGTGCAGTGACATTGCTCTAATTAATAACTCATGGTAACTTATTGTAGCAAGAGAAAAATAAAAATTGGTATTTTGCTGCAGAGTATTATCATAAAGTATTCAAGAACTCCAGTGACTTTATTAAATGAAACTTACATTAATAAGTACAAGGACAGAACCTGCTTCTGGGACAGAAAGAGGCATATCAGTGAGAGGCCTTTTGTGTTTGCGTGTTTGTCCAGGGGAGGTGGCACGAGTCAGAGGGGAGGCCGAGCTGCAGGTGTCCAGGCTCGGGAAGGAGAGGGAGCAGCTGGAGGCCAGGCTAGCACAGACGGAGAGGGAGGCCCAGAGCACCCTGAGCAGCACAGAGCGTGCTTACCAAGAGCTGCTGGAGCGCGAGCACAAAGACAAGGTGGGGCTGCCCAAAGGTACACTGGGATATGTGCTTTTGAAAGTGTTGCGGGAAGAGTTCAGTCCTTTTGTTTGATCTTAAATTTGACCTTGCCATGTCTGACTGGGGGAAAACAGCATGGAAAACTGCGTAAAGAGTGTTCCACAAAAACAAAACCTACACGAAGCTTAAAGGTCTTTAAAAACAAACGGAGAAGGCCTTTCCTGTTTTTTTAAAATCAGGCTGCCCTGGGCTTGTGAGTCCCGTCCACTTGTGCCCTCAGCTGTCCTCCGTCCCGCCTCTCTGTCCCCCCCAGGAGAGAGCGTGCGCTGAGCTGAGCGCCCAGAGGGAGCAGGCGGAGCAGCAGCTGCGAGGGGAGTGCGAGGAGCTGAGGGTGCGCGGCCAGGCGGAGCAGCAGCAGCTGCAGGAGGAGCTGGCCAGACTGCAGCAGCAGAGAGACGACAGCCTCCTGCAGGCAGAGAGCCACAAACAGCAGGTCTCTCCTCGGCACGACGCCGCGCCTGACTGCTGCTACTGTCACAAAACAGGGCCAAAGAACACCTCTTTCCTCTCATAACGGAGCCCAGAGCAGTTTGCGTTCTTCTGCTCCAATGAAGTAAACCTGCTTACCCTTTTTAAAGATAAAATAGTCCCAAAAGATGTCCATCTGTTTCATAAGCCTGTTTTTCAAATCATTTTTCAAATGCATGTTTACTCATGTGCGCACGCAGTACATGAGCACTTAAAAGTACCCATCTTTCGCACATTAAGCTTAAAGTAATTTAACAAGCACCGGTTTTGAAATAGTATGGAATGGGGGCTCGTACGGTAAGTTTATTGTTGGACAGTTACCACTTACTGTATCTCTGTTTTGTGATGACTCAAATAATTCTACAGTCAGCAACCTACACAATTCTAGTATGTCTCTGATAATAGTGCACAAACCTGAATTGAATTAGTGATCTCTAGACTTTAAGGTACATTCAGCTCTGCGTCCTATATAGAAGAGGGATACGCTGTGTTGTACCAAGCAGTTTTTGACCACTGTTCTCTGGTGGATCTGGCTTCACTTTTACTGTATTATTATTCTATTCTGTGTGCTATTTTGTACTGTTTTATCTGGTCCAACACACACAGTGCTGTTTGGGGCAGTGTTGACTTTCACTCTGCGCCTCTGCAGGCTCTGTCTCTGAAGGAGGCCGAAAAGGCAGTTCTCGCTGAAAAGCTGGCCAGTGCCCAGCAGGAGCAGGTCAACGTCACTATGGAGATGGAGCGTGTGCGGAGAGAGGCCCTGAGCCGCCAGGAACAAGACAAGGTGAGCGTTTTTTAGAATCACACTTTAAATGAACCTCACAATAATATAGCAAGCCCTTCTTTACAATTGGTTGTGCAGTCAGCAACGTTAAACACCCTTTTAAAAGTATCAAATGATTTAACTTGCTGAAGTGTTTTATAGCAGCTCAAGGGAGACTGTCCTCTCTCTGCCAGCATTGAATGTTTGATTCCAGTTAGTTGTTCAATTCTCGTTAGGATTTTTGAGCTGTAAAAATCAAAATAAGACTTTTGGATCAGCAAGTTCTTTAGCTTTCCACAGCGTAAAAAATAGTGAGTGCAGCCATATTGACAACTACACAAGAGATACAGAACAATGTGAGAGCCTTGCAGTTTTGTTCAGATGTGAAATAAGTTCAATTTTTCTCCTCCCTGTTTTGTTTTGTTTTTTTCCACCACAGGACACCATCAATGGGCTGAACTCCGAGCTGCGGGCTCTGCGTACGCAGTTTGAGGAGGCCCTGGGCTCTCACGAGGGCGAGGTGCGCCGCCTGAATGAGAGGATAAAGGAGCTGGCACAGGAGAGAGAGGAGGCCCTACAAGAGGTCAGCCCCCCCCCCCCACATTCCTCCCAGGCCGAGCAGTGCACAGCACGCTGCTCCCACTGTTCAATTTGTGCAGCACGGCTGCTCCTCACACTGGGCTGACCAGCACGGCTCTGTCACATAGAAATGATTCAGACGCCTTCGGCCGCACCCCCGGTTCAGTTTGACACCTCCCTGCTCAGGCCCGCCGGTCCTGTCCGGAGGAAGTCGGGATTTCGGACAGGCTTTTGGCTTTGCGCTGCACGGAGGAATCGAGGGCCGTGTGGTGCGTTAGGAAAACAGCACGCGCCGCGCTCGCCGAGATGGATATGAGGCTCGCTGGCCTTGAAGGAAGGTGAAAGGCTTTGTTCCGTGGAAGGAAGTTTTCACAGCCCGCGGGGGAAGGTACCTAGGCCCCCGGTGTCCCCTCGGCTCTTTTGCGCTCTTGCCAGAAACGTCGGTTTGTTTGTTTCCCATCGGGTGGCATCTCTGAGAAAGCGCAGCGTCGGGGAGGAGGATGGGGGTTGTCACAAGATAGATGGACAAGAGGGGTGAAGCCGGGGTAGCAGGCAATTTAACATGACAGGCTGTTTACATTGGCAGGGCACGCCTGCTGTAACAGTGCTGTGAGGCCAGTCAGAGTCCAGTTTGTACCAATTAGTACCAGTGCCGGGGAGAGCAATTTAGCATGACGCCATGTTTACATTGGCACGGGCTCTCCGGTTTAGCACCATCAGGATGCCACCAGCTGCAGACCGCAGTGGGTGGCGGGGCGAGATCGGAGAGTCAAATTTCCTCCCCCAAGACAAAAGTTCAAGGATTCTGCAGCTCCCCCCATCCCTCCCTGTTCTTCAACATGCTGATGATAGACATTCAGTGTAGAGATGCACAGATGTTACTGCAGAGACAAAATAGTCTTAAGAGACTCATCTCTGGCTTAACACGATGTGTTACTCCTCTGATTGGATAAATAACATACCGTTGTTATTTCATAATCTTTGATGTTTTCTCAAGAGTGGATTCAGAAAACTTTTTTTCATTTTTCTTCTTCTGTGATTGTTCCAATTATGGTGTTTCACACTTTTCATCCCCGACTTTGGATAACAGCAGTTTTGATTCTGAACACAGTTCATACATTACAAGTAGTTCATGTTTGTTCTATAACTATCATGTGTTGGTTAGTTTAAACCAGATTAAACCAGAATCCCACACAATGTGTGATACCAGTGACCTGCTTTTCCATGGTTGTTGGGATTCTCACTGTTACGTAAATAGGAAAAAAATACAATAACTTTCTAGAGTATTTCAATAAAATGAAATACATTTTTATATTTCATCAGCCACATCTACTAAAAATGCATTTTAGCAGATATGAAAACAATACCCATCCTAGAGACAAAGCCCATGAATCGAACCCTGAATCGAACCATGAACCGAACCACTTTACCTTATCTAAGTGACCTTATTTCTAGTACCTTTCCTCAGCAATAGTTCCCAGCAGCCCTAGAGACAGGGAGGAGAACACTGTAACATAAGATCTGTGCACAAAAAGCAATAAACTACATACAGTGAAACCTGTTGTGAAGTCTAGAGGTAGAGCTAACATGTAGCTTCTTCTGCTGTAATATACCCACAGGCAGCAGCATTACTCCCTTGTAACCCGGTCTTGTTAAATCAAAGAAGCTAAGCAAGCTAGCAAAGCTTGACACGGTCAATTCTAGGATAAGAGACCTCTAAGGAAAGCCAGGATACTGTTAAAAAGTGGGTTTGGTGGACCAGTAGGTGTCACTCTTCTCTCTGGACCAGAATTTCCTAACCAATGCCTCAGTATGATGACAGCGTGCTATATGAGGAGCTGGTGCTGTCCTATGAATGAGATGTTAAACCCGTCTGTGGTTCGGCCTGCCTGGTCCTTAAAGACCCCATGTCCCTATTCATAAGAGTAGGGGTGTTAACTCTGGTGATAGATTCCTCTTGTACAATCTGTCCTTCCTGACATTTCTGCTTAATTCAGTTGCTAAAACAATTTTTCAATGAAAAAAAAAATGTATAGCCACTCTCGATATGTCGTTTTGTCAGACATCACCCACACTTCAGAGATGGATGAAGTGTGTTTCCTACTATGTTTGAGAGCACTTTGGTATCCCATGGAATGAAAAGCACTGTATATATGTAATTGATTATTATTAATAATAATATTAAAGACTCAAAAAGAGACAGGGATCCTATCGAGTGCCTGGGAAAGGCAGTGTGGGTTTGGATATCCTGGTAAGCGGTCTGTGTGTCCTCTCTTAACCACATTTTGGCAAAGGCTCTGCTTTTGATTATTTTAATAATTTCCAGTTCAATGTGTTTTTGTCAGACCATGGCAGACCAGGGCAGTCAATGGTAAGCAACAGCTCTTCATTATATTGAATAAAAACTAAGGTTAACCCTTGAATAAATAATCTTGTGCTAAAGTGTTTATTTTCTCCTGCACAGCAGCGAGAAGCTGATTTTTCTGTGAACGTTGGGAAAAAAACAGTGCTGGTTGAAGTGGTATCTTTTAATCTATAAAGAACAATGCCACATTTTTTATTCTCTAATGTTCTGGCTAGAAAAATATAAAGCCAGGTTTGTTGGAACTATGCAGGCTTGTTTTTCTCACATGAAAATTTATAGGCGAGAAGAAGCATCTTGTGTGGCCCCCACACGAGATCACTTTACTCGGCTCTTCTGCAGAGCAGACTTTATCACCGTAGCCCAGTGGGGACTCTCCACATGAGACTGCTGTGAACTGCTCTTGGACAACCTTCATGTGTTCAGATTAAAAAACTGAAGGAACCTTCCCTGGAGTGAGTGCATGCATGTCTGTGTGCCCTGCGATGGGCTGGTGTCCGGTCCAGGGTGTATCCCACCTTGCGCCCTGGGATAGGCTCTGGGCTACTGAGACCCTGGAGTGGATAACCAGTGAAGTGATGTGATCTTCCTGGCTCTGCACAAAATCGTTCTGGCTTTTATCTGGTTTTATCACAGTGCTGGCCAACCTTTTTTTACATTTTCTGCCATGTAAAAAATCCCGCACTTTCCTAAGTTTGTCAGATATATTTCTACATACATAAAAAAGTCACTTTCTGTTTTGAGAGTAAAAATGATGAGGCGGTCTACATCAAGAACATGCCCCGGCTCCAGAGGGACTTGCTGTATTCCGTAGTCCAAATCAGGGATGTGCAGTGTCAGCCCTCTAGCACTGCAGGCTACTGATTAAGTGACGATGAGTTAACTTTTGATCTGCTTAAATGAGTCTGATTGAGCAAATGAAATCAGATGTGGAACGAAAATCCAGCTGAGGACCTGCAGGCTCTCGAGCATTACCCTTCCCTCGTCCCAAAAACATTTAACTGGCTGTGGAAGTGTTTCCGTCTGTTTTACACAGTGAGGTGCCTTGAATGGCGGGTGTTTACCTGCTTCAGCGCCGTGAGGAAGAAAGAGGTGAGAACGAGTGGGCCTTCCTCTGTCTCGGGCAGGTGGAGCGCCTGAAGGCAGAGCTGCAGGCGGCGGAAGAAGGGCGCGACGGCGGGCGCAGGGAGCTGATTGAGCTGCACCGCGAGCTGCGGGAGTGCGGCCAGGAGCGGGACGCCCAGCGCAAGGAGGTCCTGGAGCTGCGGCGGGCCCTGGCGGATGAGACCCGGGAAAAGGAGGCAATCCTGAACTCCAATCAAGAGCTGAGGAGCGGGGTCAAGATGGCAGAGAGTGACAGGAACAGGTACCGCACACTGCTAACGCTTGGACATGTGCACTTCAAGATTGGAAATGAATCCCAAACTGGCAACTAATGGCTCCTTAATCTTAAAGACGATTGCAATTCAATCTTTGGTTTTGGATTGTGATTGAGCCTAATCCTCTTTTGTTCATTAGCTTTCTAATAAAAATGGATTTGGTTGGCCAGTAGATAGACCAGATCAGATGAGATGATAGAATCAGATGGATGCTCTTCCGTCTTCTCTTATGCACGGACACTACCGGTGAGCGGAAAATAGAATTAAGCATATTGTTCTGAAAAGAAAGAAAGAGGGGGAAAGCTCTGGAAAACACACTTCAAAAGATACCATCCAAAGATACCATTTATGAAATCAAGAAGATGCCTTTGCGGTTTGGCCCAGCCAGGAGTTGTTTTCACAGCTGGGCAAGATTTTCGTTGACAATTTTCCTTGCCCTTGTGTACAAGAGCTCAGTGGCCCTCGGCATGTTTCAGAGGCGACCCACATGAAATATAGACAGTGCAGGGTTTTCTCACTGTAGAAGACTGAGGCGTAGAGGAGTTTGCCGCCGTCTAGAGAGTGGCACTGTGTATGCTCTCGGGTCTGTGAGACTGTAATGGAGACCCCAGCAGGGGCACAACTGAACTTTCAGCGTTACAGGGCTGTAGACCTCGGCGTGTGATGGAGCATCAGCGTGTTTGTCTCTCGGCAGTCTGAGGCGGGCCAATGAGGAGAAGGAGCAGAAGCTGGCAGTGCTAGAGGAGTGCAAAGCCTCCCTCCAGCAGGAGGCAGCGGAGCTGAGGAGCAGCCTGCGAGAGTTGGAGAGGTCACGGCTGCAAGCCCGGCGGGAGCTTCAGGACCTGCGCAGACAGGTGAAAAAGGACCTGAAGGGTTTGTGCTTAGAAAACGACGGAACAATTTCATAAGCACTTTGCGAGCGATCAACAAAAAGAACGTTTCACCGAGTTCAAGCCCGTTACTGCTTGAAAACGAAAGAAATGTTCCGGGATATGGCTTTCCGAGGAATTTAGAAATACTTACATAGAGAGCACTTTTATCCCTATCAAAATAAAACTTCTAGTCCACGGCTCTGTCTTTCTCTGTTGGAACAGGTGTTCTGTCTCCATACCACAGCTCCACTTCCCCCTCTCACAGCTCCTGACTGTCTCTCCGTAATCACCTGTCACACCCTTACACCTCCATGTCTCCCTCCCTTTCTCTTTCCCTTCCCCGCTGACACCACACCTGTCTCTCTCTCCCTTCGGCATGCAGGTGAAGACCCTTGACAGTGAGAATGTGCAGCGCCGCAAGGAACTCGACGAGCTGCGGGCTCGCGTGGCTCAGGATGGGCAGAGAGAAGACGAGCTGCGACGCGAGATCTTTAGTCTGAAGCAGAGGATCCTGGAAGGCGAAGCCAGCAAGGAGGCGGAATTAAAAGAGGTATGCCTGGTATTCTCTCGATAAGGATGAGCAAATTTTAAAGTTTTGGGTTCTGACAGCAAGCATACATGTCTGTCAATGGAAAATTTAGCACAATATGGTATCCTAGAGTTGAGAAAAACTTAAGCATGGAAAAAGTGGGCATTTTGCGGTGAAAGGTGAAAGGTTGGAATATCACGGCATTACTCTTCTTGCTAAGTTCTGTAAAATGTATTACTAGGGCAACCCTAAAAATGTTTATCACACAACTGAGGCATGGATTTTAAAATATAAACCCCTGTTGCAAGCTCCCATCCCATAATCTATGTACAGAACAAGGTTTTTGATATGAGTGACCTCATCTGAAGCTCGCCTCAACACGGTGTCCCAAGCTGTGTAAACAAGACGTTCTTCCGCTCAGGGCTGAGCTCGTGCTCTCTGCCCGTCCCTCTGGCTCTGCTCACTCTGTGCCCTGGCAGGTGGCTGGGCTGCAGCGCCGGGTGCTGGAGATGGAGACCCAGCAGAGGCTGCAGGCCGAGGAACTTGAGAGCCGCGCCAGGGAGCTGCAGGAGAGCGGGCGGCGACATAAGGAGAGCACTGAGCAGCAGGAAGGGGCGCGGCAGAGGGCAGAGGCCCGGCTGCAGGAGCTCACCCTGCGGCTCAGCGTGGCCGAGGGCAGGGCTCAGGAGCTGGAGGAGCAGCTGGGCCAGGCAGACTCGGCCAAGTGTGATCTCGAGCAGCGACTGACCAGCCTGTCGTCAATCCTGCGCCGTACCTTGGGCATCACCCGCACAGGGCGATCACAGACCCCAGGGGCACATGGGCGCAGCCCCTCACCCAGAAGGAGCCTGTCACCAATGAAAGGTTAGGCATTGGTTTGCCTTGACCCATAAGCACATGTCACTCATGACTGCAGTGTCTTTACAGTGGCCAGCGAATGTTTTACAGGGCACTGCGGGTTATTAATGGTTGTTTGCTATCAGTTTGAACTGGTTAGATCAAGAATGGAAGACAGATACACTAAAATTGTCAAGAAGGGCACGCAGCATAGTTCATCAGTAAGAAGCTTGATCATATTTGCACTTTTTGCATCTGTCACTTTGTGTCTCTTGAGAAGGTGACAGTGGGGACGGCCTGCGCTGCTCCACACCTTGCCTCAGTGGCAGTGGGTCTCCTCTGCACTCCTGGGGAGGGGACACCGATCTGGACCTGGACATGGTAAAGGCAGCGCTGCGTGACTTCATCCAAGAGCTAAGGGAGGCTCAGAGAGATCGGGTTAGTACAGCCTACAGGGACAACTGGTAGTGCTTTCTGTTCAAATCTTGCCATTGCCATTTGTCTGACATCTAGTGCCTTGTCAACATGTCACCCCTGTTGCTTCTGCGTCTCCTCTAACCCAACCCCCTTTGTTTTTTTAGATTTTTATTGAGAACTCACGCATTCGTTTTGTTTTGTGAATCTCCTCTGGATACAGCGTCGGGCACATCTGGAGTCAGATTTCACTGCTTGCATGAGAAGTATTGTTAAAAAGGCTTTGCCTGATTTGCAGGATGAAGCTCAGGTCCAAGTGCTCAATTTGTCCCGCAAGATCGGGGAGCTGGAGGGCGACCGGGACAGAACCAACAGCCGAGTACAGCAGCTGCAGAAATCTTTGGCTGAGCTGGAGGAAGGTGAGCGCCTTCCTACAGATGACAAACCTTTATGGCGTCGTGGGGAACTTCCCTTGGATGAGTCAGAAGGTTCTTAAATGTGGCCGGGGGAGCGCTCTATTCATAGGTAAAACAAAATCAGTACAGTTATTAACATGGGCTGCTGTGCTGTCCCAGGGAAGCGGGGAGGTGACCAGCAGCTCAGCGCAGCTCAGACAGCCCTTGCTCTTCACGAGGAAGCCCAGCAGCGTGGGGACAGGGAGACGAAAGCCCTAGTAGAGAAGGTGGCCACACTGGAGCGTAGTCTTCAAGCCTCGGAGGGAGACAACAGGACCCTGCAGGTGGGCACTGGAGCGAAACACATTCCCATGATTTTCTTCCCTGTGGATGCATTTTTCTTCTTCAAACTGTGTGATGCTCCAAGGCAAGGGCATTACACACTCCCTTGACATGTTTGATTGGAAATGCAACACAGGAAATGTATAATTACAGTGGATGAAGTTCGGTTACTTTTACAGCTGTGCCCCTCCGATTATAACATTGGCAACTAATTGTGACTCGGTGGGGAGATTTTGTATAGACTCACATCCTGTGAATTTTGTCAGGTGGGTGTGTGATATTTGTCATGGGAGCTCTACGGGAGCTGGCGATCGGGTGTCTGGTCTTGGCAGGAGAAGCTGGCCCGAGCTCAGGCGGCAGAGAGCAGACTGGAAGGGGAGCGCCGGAGGCTGAAGGAGGCAGTCGAGGCCTCAGAGGCACGGGGCAGCCGACTGGAGATATCCCAGCGCACCCTGGAGGGGGAGCTGCAGCGGGCTCAGATGGCGGCCAGTGAACGGGAGGCAGAGGTGGCCACACTGCAGGAGAGACTGGCCGGGCTGCGCCAGGAGCTTGCGGAGAGCGAGGACCGGGGGGCGGCTCTCAGGGTTAATTCGGAGAGGCTGAGTGTGGCCCTGGCACGGGCCGAGGAAGGGGAGGGCCAGCTGAAGGACAAGGTGCAGAGCCTCTCGCGCGCTCTGAGCGACAGCAGCACCAGTGCCGGGGCACTGCAGGAGCGCGTCGCCGAGCTCCAGAAAGCCCTGACGTCCAGCGAACAGGACCGCCGGGTGTTACAGGCAAGTCTCCCTGGAAGATGCAGAGCGCTGCCGAAATAAAATGTGTAGCTTTGGCACCGAGGCAAAGCAAGGAACAGACAAAATGCACAGAACAGATACAAATACAAACACATATGCATCTGTTTGGCCTCATGCAACATTCAGCTCCAGCAGATGGATAATAATTATACCACAGGTCCTGAAAAACGATGGTAAAATTGGACATGTATATTATTTTGTTGTGTTCCCGGTGCAGAACCAGGGCTCTGTATAGTCGCAAAATCCTCTGCTCCCTAATTGCCACAGACGAAGTGAGTAGGCTGGCAGACTATTTTGTAGGCAAGATGATTCAGGTTACTGACTGTCAGAGGTGCCTGGCAGATAATCTTGTTGGTGTATCAAGTCCAAACGTCATTATTGATCATGAATTTTAAAGGCATTTTGAAAATGAATACTATAACTGGCTTATTCAGCTATTTGTAAACAGTGTGCCAAAACTTAAAATAAATGTCTCCCTTAAGCCACTACTATTAGGTTAGGGCCAGTGCTGTGTTTTTTATGTGGAAAGATGCTGACTTTTTTGATTTGTCTAAAAATTGATCCTCCTGTTATTTATTTATTGAAATTCCTAACTATAATGAATTATGTTATTTATATTTCTGCTGCTTAATTTATCTTAATGCACCAGTACTGTCGTTTTTTTATTTACCTCTGATCCAATTATTTCCCTAAAGGAACCCTGTGACTTGGCAATAAAATCTTTAAGCTAGCTCATTAATTTTCCAAAGGCTCCTCAAGAGGGCTCTTAAGGCTCAGAGACCGGGGCTGAATTGAATGATGCTGTGTAAACAAAAACTGCCTATACAGGACTTTATAAATCTGTTCACGTAAGAAAAATGTCAGATGATGCCAATAAAAGAAATATTAACTTCTTCTCACATTTGTTAAGGTGTGACACAGTGGTCTATGCCCAGTTATCCTGATTTGGCACTTTTTTTAGGAGCGTCTGGATTCTGCGAGGGAGTCCCTCTCGGAGTGTAAGAGGCAAAACCATGTGCTGACAGAGAGGGTCCAGAGCCTGCAGCGTGCCCAGGAAGAGACGGCGTTGAGGAGCCGAGATCTGGAGAGCCAGGCCAGGAGCCTGCAGGAGGTCAGAAGGAAGGGGGTGATCTAACAGACAGCTCCAAACACTGCACTATCATACCCTGGGAGAACAGTGGGGAAAAAAAATAATTTGCTTGACAGGGTATAGTGAAACACAGAGAGAGTAGAGAGAGGGAAAATGGAGAAGGAAAGGATGGTGAGGTGAGGTTGGGAGGGAGAGGCAATGAGAGGGAGGAAACAGCGATGTGGGAGGGCTTGCGATGGAGAATCACGGCATTGACAGCTGCTCTCTGTGATGGCCGGGCCCACAGACTCTGCGCCAGAAACAGGGCAGTGAGCAGGAGGCTCTGGATGGTTCTCGGCAGCTACGGGAGGAGAGACAGTCCCTACAGGAGAGGGTGAATGCCCTGCAGCACGCTGTTGAGCACCTGGAGAGCAAGCGGAATGAACTGGAGAGAGCCGTCGCCCGGCTGGACAAAGAAAAGGCCTCCCTGAGACGGGCGCTGGACAAGGTGACTTTTTAGCTCAGAAGTTTGCTTTAAATGCTTACATGTGCTCTAGGCCTTCTAATTCTTTGTCCTGCATGGTTCTGGGTATCCATGTTAGATTCATTTTGACCCACGCACTGCCTTGAAACGGAGTTGTGGTTTTCAATGGCAGGTGGAGCTGGAGAAACTGAAGCAAGAGGAGGAAACTGTACGTCTGGGACGTGAGAAGGAACAGCTGGACCACACCATGAGCAGCATGGAGCAGGAGTTGGCTGATCTACAGGCAGAGATCGAGCAGCTTCAGGTCAGATCTAGTGGAATAACCTGACCTCACCGAGACATCATTTTCTAGATACCATCTGTTTATTTTGTCAAAATGATGCAAGCAGTGTGAATTATTAAATCTAATTCTTAATCCACTCTAAATTATTTACGTTTAGTTTTGATCTGTATCTGTCCAAAGAGTAATAAGAATTATTTCCTTTAAATGCAATGGCTGGTAACTGGTGTTTAAATTCAGTAAAATTGGGTACAATTAAAAGTCTGTAAGCTACTGTAGTGTGGTGCTACTGTACTGTGGTGTTTTTAAAGTAATTGTATTGAGGAATAAAGCCTTACCATAATAACTGTAGATTTAACCTCACATATCCAGTACTGTGGAATGTAATGTAAGTTAAAATAATAGAGATAATAGGACGCGGTGGAAGGGGTTACAGTCAGTTCATTCTGCCGTTCCCACTGACGAGGCAGCTCTGGCCCCAGGCACAGATCTCCCAGCTGGAACGGGCACATGCACAGCGCCTCCTGGAGGTCACAGGCCGCCACAGGCAGGAGATGGAGCTGGAGACCGAGAGGCTCCGAGGGGCCCAGCAGCAGGCCGAGAGAGCCCTGGAGACCCGGGAGAGGGCCCATCGCCAGAGAGTGAAGGGCCTGGAGGAACAGGTGAGCTCCCTTGCGCAGTGAGGAACGGGGGCAGGGACAGGAAGCGAGCAGGTCTCTTCACTCAGGCTGTGATTGTAGCGGAATTCCAGACTGAGCTGGAAGCACACACTCTTAAAAAGTACAAAATGAGACCTACAGCTATCAAGACTGGTGTTTAAAAAACTAGTAAACCTTTTATTTCTGTCCATACAGCATTTTTAAAGTTGTTATGTTCTCAGCATTGAATAAAAGTTGAATACAGGACTATTAGTAATATTGATCCCCATATCCGCCTCATTCCTTCGAAAATCAGCACTTGCTGAGGGGATGAAAGATCTTGTGTGTTTTCCACTTGACATTTAATTGACTAGTACAGGTAATGGAGAAGCACATTCTGCTTGTGTTAAAGAGGAAAGAAATGGGAGTTTTGTGGAAAGCTGAAGAGGTGAGCCAGGCCTTTATGAAAAGGTTGGGAAACAGTATAGAGGCTGTGTAAAGCACTGCTGTCTGTGGGCAGTCTGAGCCCAGAGAGATAAATGTTCTGAGGTTCTCGGGACTGGTTTTCTCCCCTTCCAGGTGGCGACACTGAAGGAACAGCTGGAACAGGAGATGAGACGTCGACAGGCCTATGTCAATCAGATGCTCAGACCTGCAGTATAGCCTGACACAGGCAAACTTTGGCCCCTGGAAGGCTGAAAAGCAATTCTTTCCAACAGCTTCAAAACCCATCTGGAAGCATCCTAGACCATTTATTTTTATACCATTTGCTCAACATCTATGATCTTGTGCAAGGGCCATTCACGGATGGAAAGAATTGTAAACTGCAGATACATAGCCATACTGTATATTAAAAACCACAGGAACTGGTTGATCTCAGGGACAACTGTGGTTTGGAGTCAATGAATATCTATGTGTGTTCATATCTGTTTCTCTCTTCATCAACATAAGTAACTGACATGCTCCAAATATTTACATTCCATGGATTTTAGAAAATAGAATAGTACACGACCATATCCCTCTCAATATTTTGGGATATTTGTCTGTATACTCCTCACACGCGATTTGATCGAGGAGATATTCAAGTGGAATTAATTAAAAGTTATAGTGAAATCTTTTAAATTAATTAGTGAGTTATACACTCTGATCATTCTAAATTATGTTAACAAAAATGAGCTATGATGTCCAATGTGTTGTGTTCTGTGTGATGTTCAAAATAAGTATGTATCCCAGAGACATAAATCAACTGGTAATTAAGATTTTAATTCAAAAACTGCTGCTTATCAGCACGAGACAAACTGTGAGAATTGTGAGGATTATATCTAACTTTGGGAACTTAAATTAAAATTCATCTCCTAACTACTTTATTGCTGAAAGTTTACCCTTTCCAATACTGCATTTGCAAATACTTACATTTCAAATGACACAGCTACTGATCTTAGATATAACTGTCCTTATTGTTTGACTTTTAAATTTCATTAGAAGTATATATATTTCCCACAACAATGTTGTAACTGTGGAATTTCCTATATAGATACTACCTCCTTAAGATTTTTGCTACATTTTAACATTTATCCTTAAAAGAATTTCTGTCAATTTTCAGACAGCCTTTGTGTGATTGTTTTACATCATGAAAGTTAGGATCATGAATTATACGAATTTGTAATAATGTTTAATTTGTCATGCAAACGAGCCTTTCAATTAAGTTTTTAAAATAAAAATGAAAAGATATGGAAAAGCTCATATGGCAAGATGAAAAAATGGCAAAACCTGGCAGAGAAGAATAACTCCTAGGGGGCGTTTTCTTCATATTTTTTAACATAAAAGGATAGGCTATTCCTAAAACCTTCTGTTTTTTTTTTAAGACAGTAACCATCTCAGTGTACTTTTTTCCACATCAATGACAGGGTTTTGCTGGTATGGAAGCTACATTATCATGATGAGAGGCAATAACGTCTAACAGCCCTTTTCCATCATTTGCATATACTAAAAGTGATTCCTAAAAAATCTGACGACACCGAATGGCTTTTACTGGCATGGAAAGTACCACGTACTCTGCTGCTGGCAGTAATAGAATGAGCTTGTCAGTGGGAAACATATGCTATTTTAGAATTAGTGCATTCTGAGATACGCCTATCGTCAAGATTTTTGGAAGATCTGACGTGTCTGCTGCTCTCAGTGACAACCTATACCTGTTATAGATTTGGCTATTACAGTACATGTACATCTTTTTCAAATCATTGATCAGGTTAGTAATATTGCTTTTGATTCTAAATGCCATTTTGTTTACTTGTCATCATATAGCACATTACTACCTATTATTATTTCTTAACTAATTTTAGCCCATTTTATATAATAGGTTCCATTTTAGTTGCATAGATAATCCTGAAGTGTATTGTTGAATTGTACCCAATCCACCTTTACTCCCAGATGTGGCTCCTGTACTATGACTTTGTTTTACTTTTCCTTTCTGGTCTGATTATTCTTTATCCTTTTGGCACAAAGAGTTATGAATGTCTGGAGCAAACTACCGAACCACAGCTGAATTGTTCTTTCCATAGTTATTGGGATAAATCCTCCAATCACTTAGTTAATATATAGCAACCAAATTCGCATCTCAGCACAGACTGCAAAATATAGTGCCTTTTACTGATAATTTAGCCATTTTTACCTAGGCTCCTCTCTCAGAATAATATGTTATTAAGTGGAGACTTTCAGCTTCCATTGCCTCTGTGTCATCTAAATTTGAATTCCACACGCCATGACCACAGCACATTTTACCATCGCCTACTGTATATCATCAGACTGGTCACTTTTGCTTGTGTACTGACGTTTATGGGTTGCTTTGACACTTGCCTGTAATTTTCCATCATTTTTAACATCTCAGTACAACATGACCATCAAATTATTTATCCAGACAGTGGTTCTATGAATGAGGGTAAAAAAGTGTTTTTGATGAGGGTATGTGAACACACAATGGATGAATAACCCTCCAAGTGTTAGAATAAAATGAACAGTGCAGTAAAAAACATAGAATTATTGCTCAGAAGATCTAAAAAGGGAAAAGGCTAATCAAAGAGATCTAATTAAACAATCTTGAAGACAAAAGAAAGAATTGTAGTATACTATAAAAGTATGGGTCTATTGACATGTTCCCATTATAGTCAACCAACATAACATCATTTAACTGTCTCTTTTCCCAAAACACAGATCACCTCAGGAGATGACACTTTGAAGATTCTGTACACCAGGAGTCATACTTTTCCTCAGCAGTAATAAATAACACAGTAAATCTAAATTAAGATAACTATGCTGATTTAGTTTTGATCTAGAATTTTGCTTTTTCTTTCTCCAGTCCGGTGGTGCAGGATTTGGGGCTTTAATGTTTTCTTTTGGTACGAATCAATGAAATTTGCACAAAATAAAGATCATGCCACACAAACCGCTCAGGTGGATTTTCTAAAAATCGGTCATTTTGTAACAGTGTCTTTAAAGAGATCAGAGTTGGGTCTCTAAAGATGGTTAGGAAAGTAACTTCAACAAGAAAATACAACAGGTTTCTCATTTCTTCAAATGAATGTTAGCTGAATTGTTCTTTTTAGTGACTTAACACTGGAATGTTATTTACTTGCCATCATTTCGGCTATCATATCTGTCACTGTTTGTGCCATGGCAAGATTAAGTTGTATATGAATAATTCATTTACCGACTAAATCAGAAATTAAGAATGTTTTGATAGGTCTTGTGAGGATATTCATGGATGATTATACCATCCTTTATTTTTCAACACTTATCACCCATGTCATATCAATGCATTATATGTATGAGTGCATTCGGATTAATTGCATATATTAAAGGCTCTAATTTTCTGGTGATTATCTTCAAGATACATCTCTTTACAGCAGGTGTGGTTTGAGTTTTTCTCTGAGTCTTTGGGGTTGTCTTCTCAAGAAGCTTTCTTCTTTGTAGTCAGACACTTCTGCAAGTCTCCTTGTCACCAGTTTTCTTTAAATGCTCTACAAACTCCCTCTACTGCAAATATTGTTATTTTTGGAAGTACTGACAGTGTCAGGATTTATTCAAGTCAGCTTTGACTGCCTGAACTTTGTACCACCCTGTATGAACCTGTAAGATAGACACGGCTTATGAAAGGTTCTACTTCATGCTGATAATAATAATAATAATGTTTCTTTATTAGCCCTATACAATTTGTTGCATTAGGAATTCGTCTTTTCGCATACCCCAGCTTTTCTCCATGGAGACACAGACACACAGTCAGGGAGAGAAGCTTGGGGTCAGAGCGCAGGGTCTGCCATTGTACAGCACCCCTGGAGCAGTTGGGGTTAAGGGCCTTGCTCAGGGGCCCAATGGAGCAGGATTCCTCTGCTGGCCGTGGGATTTGAACCGGCAACCTTCCAGTCACAGGTGCAGATCCTTAGCCACAGATATTGAACCCCTTCATATATTTATACTTTATTAGGCATAATGAACTGCAGAATTTCAAAGATATCAAAGATATGTAAGTTTTACTCACTTATGTGGGCTTTAATTTAGATCACTAGCATCAGAACTGTCTTCTATTATAAAAGTATTAAATTTGATTTTACTGGCCTGCTATAATTTCATTCATTTGCTTTTTAATACATAGCTATGTTACGTTTCTGCATTGTTACCACAATGCTGCCTTGTTTGAGCCTGGACTGTTTAGGTTGTCCCATCAAGTCAAGGGTTAAGATTTGGGGGAGGGAGTCTTGTCAGGGTTTTTCTTTAAAGCAGCCCTATGATTATCATAACTCCGCCCAGTAACTATCCAGTTACTGGCCTCCCTTCTGTGATTGGCCGTGATTCATAATTATGCAAAATAGCGAATCCCTGGAGGGGTGGTGCTGGGACTGAAAGAACTCTTTTGGCAGGCAGAATAGAGCTTTTATTGAGGATATTTCTAAGCTAACCATCAGGGACCAAATAGCTGGATTGTAAAAATTTTCAGAGCTGAATCGCTCTGCTCTTTTTTTTTCTCATTCTTTCTTTCCTCTCCTTTTTCTAAGATTCTGAAAGCTGCAAAGCACACTGAACCAACAGAATGCCAGGAATCTGCCCCCCAGTCTCGGATTATCAGCCCCAGTAAACAGGGGAAACGCTCAAAAAGCAAAGGAAAAAAAAAGCTAGAAGGTGCTAAAGGGCAGCTGTTAAGGTGGTTAAGACCGTAGTCCTCTCAGTACCCCGAATTTGCACACACCCCTTTTCCCCTCCCCCTGAACCCCAAGAACTTGCAAATCATCTGAACCCTCAACACAGAGCTATGGAGATGGGGCTGGGAGCCCTCGTACCCTGGCTCTGCACTTTGCTCTCTCTGGATTTGCTGGCTGTCGTGGAGTTAGCTGTACCTCTCCGGGACTTCTACCCCTTCGGACAAGACCATGGGGACACCCAGACGATGAAGCAAGATGATGGGGGATCTGGGCTGGTGGAAATCTCTGTAGCCTTCCCTTTCTTTGGAGACAGACACACGGGGCTCTATGTGAGTAACACATACTGCATTACTTCTGCTAGTATTTGTAACATTTTGTTTTCAGGGGACTTAGAGTATGGATGTCATTATACCTTATAACCCCTGCATCCCAGAAAACCCCCTTTCAGAAGAAGGGAATTGCTTCAGGTGTGCTTCAGTGTTACAGGTTTGTTAGCTTCACAAATGTTGATTTTGCCATTCACTGTAGTCGAGCAGAAGATAATAGCAAGTAAATTGTTGTTTACTTTGCAAAACGTATGCTAGTTGTGGTCCAAAACAATTACTTTTTAGACAATTACTTATGAAAATGGTCTTTGCACTAGATACCAGGTCTGTAACTCGTTTGTGTTCCCTTGCGAGTTTAAGATGTGAGCTTCACTGAGAAACATGCCTATTCAGTAAGACCTGAGGTGGTAAATCTCATTGCAATTTTTAGCAGAGAGGAAGAACAGAGCTTATCTGCTCTCAGCTGGGGCAGGATAAAGTACAGTGGAACGTCTAATAGGAACAAACTGCTGAGAAGATGAAGGTTCTTCACTGTTGTGTCTAGACAATCCAACTTTGTAAATATGTGTACAACCAAAAGTGTGAGTTTTATGGCAGCAATAAATCTGGAAAATTCATGAACTGATAAAGAGTTGTTAAGCAAAAGGAAGTATCGTCATAATGTACATCCTAATTCTGTATATTTAATTGACAAGAAAAACATAAAGTTACATTGTCTGAAATATTCTTGTATACTTTGACACTGGAAAGCACTCAACACTTTTTTTTTACTTTTTCAATGTATTTTTTATATTCGAAATCAGGATTTATTGCAATACAAAATTGGAAGCTACAATCCCTGTACCAATATGGGATGGTTGAGTAAAAGACCATACTTTCCTCCAAACCACACACTGTGTCAGAGCCATCAAATATTTTTCACAAAACAAGTCCTAGGATGTCTGGGGTGCTGAAACTCCATCCAATTACTGTGGTGCTTGGCCAGTTGTTCACTGATACTTATTTAATTCCAGTTACTGTTTGCCTGACAGCTTAACTCAAAAACTGTGGGATCTGAATAAAAGGACACTTAGGAATTATTTAATTTAATAATTAACTGGCTCAGTTCTTAAATACTCAAGTTAGGTTGATGATGCATTTGCTGTCAATTTGAATCAGCTAATCACAGAGTCAAAGGAGCCTTTATGTATGCACACCTCTCTCTGAATTATGTGTGTGCGCACATGAAACAGGTTTAATATCCAAAAGCAAATGTAGGGGAAGGTGGAATATAATGTACACATCTAATTCCTTCAGGGAGGGCATTCCAGGCCATAGAGGCTTAGTAACACAAACTGAGGTGGGCTCTAGGAATCTGCCACATTCTTAAAGACAGTATTAGCAGGAACTAAGTCAGAGGGAACATTTGAAGCCAATCTAATTAAGAAATTAAGAGAAGGATTTTATAATGAATGTGATACTTCACTGGTAGCAGTGAAGAGACATCAGGACGAGAGTACATATACCAAGATGAATTAGTCTTGAGGCCCTTTCACATTAACATTTTGACCTGGGTCGCAACATGGTGTAAAACAGGTACAGTAGGTCAAGCAGTTTCATATTAATTTTCAAACACGTATGGTCAGCCTAGGAGCCAGACTACATAAATACAAATTTGCAATTATGCTGTGCCCTGCCACTTGGTCTGTAGAAAAAAAGATTTTCAGACAGAAGTGCTTAACCAAAGCCCTTCATTCTGGCAGATGCATACAATGATATTACAATAGTGTTTAAAATGCCTGTGGAGATTTCACCAATGTTACAGTATATTGTATCACTGTATACTGTACGTGTTTTTTCTGTGTAATTTCCATGATAGTAACTTCCAATTTAAAAATAGCTGTTGGCATATCTAGATGAACATCTTTTTACTTTTATGAGAGTAGCACGATTTCCAATAGTTAAAATGCTACACTATACTAAAGTATAACCCACATTTGTGATAAAAATCATTAACAATTAGAAAATCATGCATCTTCCCACATGGTACTAAAATATAACACACAGCTGTAGTGGAAAATGTGACATAATCAAACATATGTATGTAATATGTAATCTACTTATGTTTTACAAACTGTGACATCCGTTTTAAGTTAACTAAAATGTAAAATGAGTTAAATGTAGTTAACTCTTACAGACCCAGACTCCAAAAGAACTTTTGAACAAGAAGGGGGCCCACAGAGAGCACACAGAATGTTCAATGTGGAAGAAAAGAAGGATGAAAAATATATTTTTTCACTTGTTTTCAAAATGAAGTCAATGTGGCGGCTCCTGTTGTGTTGTAACTGTACTCTGGCAGTCAGTGTGAGAAGACATCAGCTGTAAGGTATCAACACTGTAAATGAATACTTGAATGATTCCTTCATGTCATCTTGAGGATGAAAAAGTAACATGAGCCAAACTTATCTTTGCCTTATCTTATCCTTGGTGACAAGCTGATTGCTGAAATCAATGGTCCAAGTTTGTGTTTAACCGACCTCTGGTGGTCACACAACTAAATGACAAGCCTTGAGATTTTTACAAGGGGTACTTGCCCTGAATAATTTTACTTTAATCTGTAGTGTAAAGAAGACCGGGTTTGTCCTCAGTACAGAAATGTCCTCTCTTTTGTGTTCAGAGTTTTCTGCCCTTTGGAATTACATCTGATTTGGGTTTAGATTTGATGTTCTCAAGCACATGTAAAAAAGGGGTACAGAGATGAGAGAAAAGAAGAAATCCTTGTGTCGGCAGAAAAGTTCTCAAAGGCCTGGGGGACCCCTGGCTTTCATCCCACTTCTGATCTTAATTAATTGAAATTAATATTTGGATAAGAAGTCTCATGGTCTTTTTTTCTATCATAAGACATTGTTAATTGCAAACATAAGACATTACTAACAATACTTATAAGACCAGCAGGAGTATGACCCTGGAGACCCGTGCTGTGGTTCTCTCGTATAAAATGTACATTCGGGTTTGAATGCTGAAGAAATTAGGAGAAGCTATCCCTTTCCTGGATTCCCAGTTTTTCCCATTTCCATATTTTTAACCCTTTTCCCACTCTAGATCATGGAAGGGGGGGCTTCCCTCTGGACCACATAGCGTTTCTGTCTCAAATGCGAACCAGCTATTCAACAGAACACAGACACATCTGTACAGTGTCTGTGGAGCAACAAACAGGATTAATGAATCTCTGCCTGACACATGGGGGTCTATATTGCACAGCCAGGAAAGAAAAAAAAGTTCTTTTTCTATTTGACAAATAAAGCCGAAGATACAAAACACTGTCTGTTGCTTTTTGGATGTTTTTAATCTTTTCTGGTCATATTTAGCCCACATTTCACTCCAGCTGTAGAATGGTACACTTAAAAGTTGATCCAATATTTACAGTTGTGGTCTGTTTTTATGGGAATGCTATTGTCTCTGGCTGCATGTGTTTCATGGCTCCCACTGAATACCTCTGGGATGACCTCGGGTGCTGAAGTCATTAAGCACAAGACCCTCAGCAGTTAAGGGTTTTGCTTGTCTCTGAATGGAACAGAACAGCCAAGCATCGCTTCAGCACTTTCAGTCACTGAAGAATGGCCTGTATTTGTCCTAATGGAAGCTGTTTACTGTATTATTTCTGCTGACTGCGCCTGTTAGGCAATCATCAGTACAGATGAGTCTTGGAAGTAATTGTCCCGTCCTTTCCAAATTGGCTCCAGAAATGAAGCAGAATTTGAGATTTATTGTTTTAGTAACTGTAGTACTTTAAAATGTTGTAAATTTAGTGAGATAGAAATAGCTAGAAAAATGAATGACCGGTAGCTCCCAGAAAAAAAAAAACGGTCCACTAAGCTACTCCTCAGACGGTTTTCGCTGGTGTTTTATGTAGCTGTGATTGGAGTGGCAGAATCTGGAGAACTGGCCATGAAAAGCAGCATTTATGTGAGGCAGCAGTTTCGCCCTTGACCCAGTTGCTTCAATTAACTGCAAGCACCAGATTCGTGACGGTCAGACAAAGCTTTGCCTGCACACCATTGTTTTGAAGAGCTTAGTGATATTTGAATCAAACAAGCAGAAGGAAAATGCAGCTTTGAACTGAGAGATCATGAAGAGGGAAATGGTCAAATATAATAGCCTGTTTATTGCTCAGATTGAATTGCTGAGCTCCATTAGAACATATAGACCATGTTTTGTTTAACTCTTGTAAGGGAATCTGCAAAGTCATCAGAAATGAGAACTTTAGTGCAACATTATTAAGGGCATCAGCATCAATCTACAGGCAATGGCACCATGTTTTTATAGCTTTGGGGGATGTTGAGCTATGTATCCATCTATAGGCTGACTACTAATATAGCTTGCAGATATTTGTTTCTTTATGAATTATGTTTTACCTGTCTCATTCAGTTCTGCCACATTGCAGTTGTGTATTGGCCCTATTTACTGACATTATTTATGGTGCTGTTTTAGTTGTAGTTCTAATAGTAATAAAGCATCGGAAAAGTACTGAAAACTGAAGTGTTTGAAATTGTTTAGTGGGTAAGAATGTTAACTGAATTAAGACATTTTGATAGGATACACACTGTTGATTTCCATCAAAGACAAAGAATGAAAGAAGCTAATTTGGCCCATCTAACTGCTTTAGCCACTAGTGTTTAATTGAACCAAGGTTTTTTTTTTAAAAAGACAGGGTATTTGCTGGCTTCTTTCCTGCCATGAGTTTGTAGCTCATTGATGATTATCAAAATTTGTGTCATCCATTCTCAGCTTTGCCCTTTCCTGCAGTATCTCTTTGACAAATCCCATTGACAAGAGCAGTGACAAACTCCACTGGGTTAACTATGTCAGTGCCTCAGGATTTTCAATACTTGAATCGGATCCCCCTCATACTTTTCTCTGTCCTAGATTTAAAAAAAAGATTCAGTTCTTTAGTCCTCTCGGTGTAGGTTATAACCTATAACCAAATGGAAGATCTTAAATTTGGACTGGAAGATTTTTAGTGA